ATTTCAAAAATCGAAATAGGAAGGAACGCTTGAAATGGCAACGCCACACCTTTCAGTTAAGATTTAAGGGGGAAAAAAAGATTGAGAGGGGTTTTTTTTTTCTCTTTTTCCTGATGTGAGCCCATTCTTACCTCAATAATGTAAAGGACAATATTCTTGTAGAAGCAATACAAAATGCATTTAGCAATTCTACTGTAATTCCAGGCACCGTGGACCAGAAGTAAATTTTGCAAGTACTTGAACTGCAAACAAAGAAAAAAACAAAAGACAGGCAGGGTTTAAGCCGTTGACGCTTACAATCACATATTGGCGATGGTTTAATATTCTCAACCAGCGGGAGACCCCACCTGAGCTATTGAATAGTCTGAAGAATTGGCAGCTTGGAGCCCTTCGTTGCCACTGATGCCGACACCTACGTGTGCCGTTTGTATCATGCTGACATCATTGGCTCCGTCACCAATGGCCAATGTCACCACCTTCACCTGTTTCTTAACCATTTCTACAATGTCAGATTTCTGCAGAGGTGAAACTCTAGAAAAAAAAAGGAAAAACAATATTGTTATTGATCATATACATATATACAAATACATATACATACACACACACATCTATATCTATATCTCTATATCTATCTATCTGTCTGTCTGTCTGTCTGTCTGTCTGTCTCTATCTATCTATATCATACATACATACATACATACATACATACATATATCCCTCTATCTCTTCCTCTCATCTATCATCTCTCTCTCCTATCTATCTATCTATCTATCTATCTATCTATCTATCTATCTATCTATCTATCTATCTATCTATCTATCTATCTATCTATCTATCTATCTATCATACATACATACATACATATATCCCTCTATCTCTTCCTCTCATCTATCATCTCTCTCTCCTATCTATCTATCTATCTATCTATCTATCTATCTATCTATCTATCTATCTATCTATCATACATACATACATACATACATACATACATACATATATCCCTCTATCTTTTCCTCTCTTCCTCTCATCTATCATCTCTCTCTCCTATCTATCTATCTATCTATCTATCTATCTATCTATCTATCTATCTATCTATCTATCTATCTATCTATCTATCTATCTATCTATCTATCATACATATATCCCTCTATCTCTTCCTCTCATCTATCATCTCTCATATCTATCTATCTATCTATCTATCTATCTATCTATCTATCTATCTATCTATCTATCTATCTATCTATCTATCTATCATACATACATACATACATATATCCCTCTATCTTTTCCTCTCTTCCTCTCATCTATCATCTCTCTCTCATATCTATCTATCCATCCATCCATCCATCCATCCATCCATCCATCCATCCATCCATCCATCCATCCATCCATCCATATCTATCTATCTATCTATCTATCTATCTATCTATCTATCTATCTATCTATCTATCTATCTATCTATCTATCATCTATCTATCTACCTACCTACCTACCTACCTACCTACCTACACACACACACACATTCCTGGACCACAGATGAGAAAAAGGCAGATGTTACCAAAGAAGTAAATAAATATAATAGGGCATAAATAATTTAATAATACTGTACACAGAACTTTGTATTTATGCAACTTTATATTTCTTAAGTATGAAATGCTAGGATGCCATTAGTTCCTATCTAAAATAAATAATTTTACTTCCATGTAGTAATTGTGGCATCAGCGATAATTTTATCTTCCTCAATAGGAAGAGCTCATGCTCTTGGCAATTTTATAGGCCAGGTCTCCCCACATCTTCCGATCTTGCGTTACTTAAAATTTATTTTTATGCTCTGGCTGGTGTCCGTTTCCCCTCAGTATACCCCCGTTAAAATGGGGCTACTATGGCTAACGATAATAAACTTTAATCGCCCTCAGGCAATCAATACCAGTGTTATCACAGAAAGGGTATGAAATTGCATGGGAGAAATTGCTGGATGTGAAACAAAACTTAATTGATGTAAATGTAAGAAAGTTATTTTTATTTAATCGATATAGTAAGAACTGTATTAATTCAAATATGAGACAGTAGCTACCTAAAAATTATAGGAGCAAAGTAAAAGAAAGGTTTACCTGCAACAAATGACAGCTTTGCAGGACAGGGCCAAATCCAAGAAATACTGCCTTACGCCAAATGTCAAAGCGTATTTTAAGGTTTTTCCGTCAATGATGAGTGCAAAATCGTTTTCCTTCCTCAAAGCATCGCCCAGAGTGCTGCAGTGATGGCTTAAGGTCTCTCTTGTTGCCTGTAAAATAGGAACATCGACTAGCAGTTAAACGGCATGACCAAAAATCCCTGATTATAAACCACATTGGTGATAAACAACACCAATTCGATTGGTAAGGGCACACTTGGAATACGGCATCCAGTTTTGGTCACCACGATGTAAAAAAGATGTTGGGACTCTGGAAAGAGTGCAGAGAAGAGCAACAAAGATGGTTAGGGGACTGGAGGCTAAAGCATATAAGGAACAATTGCTGGAATTGGGGATGTCTAGTTTAAGGAAGAGAAGGACGAGGGGGGACAGGATAGCAGTGTTCCAGTATCTCAGGGGCTGCCCCAAAGAAGAGGGAGTCAAGCTGTTTTCCAAGGCGCCTGAAGGCAGGACAAGAAGCAATGGATGGAAACTAATCAAGGAGAGAAGCAACCTAGAACTAAGGAGAAACTTCCTGACAGTGAGAACAATTAACCAGTGGAACAACCTGCCTCCAGAAGCTGTGAATGCTCCAACACTGGAAGTTTTTAAGAAGAGACTGGACAGCCATTGGTCTGAAATGGTGCAGGGTTTCCTGCCTGAGTAGGGGGTTGGACTAGATGACCTCCAAGGTCCCTTCCAACTTTATCATCATCATCATCCAACTTGATGATGATGATGATGATGATGATGATGATGATGGCACACCAACACCCACCACACACGTGAATTTATTGAGGCCTGGTATTCCACCAAAGGAGCAATTAACAAGCATATTGATCCAGATCCAGCATATGAGTATGTGAGATATCAGACCATTCGAACTGCCAATCAACAGGAGAACCAATCAGCTGCTCAGAGTTCAAATATACCTCCAAACAAACAACCAATCGCACAACCACACTGGCACACAAGACATTTTAGAAGCTAAGGAGAAGAGGGCAAGGACATCCTGCAGATGAGGTTACTTAATCTGGTAACGAAACGTACAGGGATTATATTGAAATAAGCTTGGAGAACAAACCACAGCTAAAATAAACCATTCATCCGTATTTATTTTTTAAGCTAGTTTATACCCAGTACGTAGACTGTAATTCAAATGTTAGGCTATACTTACATCAAGGGAGCCTTCATTTATGACAATTAGCCCCATGTTCTTTTTCAAGAGTTTACACGAATGTCCTATTAGGGGGGTAAAAAAAGTACGCTGTTGTGTTAGGATTTTTAAAAGTTGTAATTACAAATACATAAAAGATATAAACATGACTCCCGACACTGAGACGCTAAAATGCAAGAATACTGTGGCCTGGATAAAGTAACTGGCATGAAATTACCATATAGAGATTTGGTGGGAAAATTCAAGGCCACTTGAGGGAATATATATTTAAAGAGAATACTAGAACGTTGATATTCTCTTTGATTTCACGTAAACAAAGAACACACAAAATAACATTGTGTTTTGCTTTTATAGAACACATTCATCCAATATTCACCATCTTTATGTGGAAAAAAAAAACTATATGGCTAAACTATAATCTCTTTTAAGAGGGAAAGTTGAGTCAGAAGCTGAAGTCAATAAGATAAAGAGTCAAGAGTACTAATTTACCGGTTCTGGGACCATAAATAAATAAAGTTGTGTAAAGAACTCTTTTCAACGCACTGTTTTGTGCGTTGTTTAACCATGATCTCTTTCTATATTAATTAGAGTCAGACGAAATTCAAATCGCATTCGTCGGTCACAGGATTAGGGATCATTCTAAAGGATTTGCAAAATTTCTCACGCCAACGAAAACGCCAATATTCTTTTATGTGACATCCATTTGACCTTGAGTGGTTGAACAGAAATATGCCAGATTGCTATCATGGTATTACAGGCAAAAGCCAGAAACTTGCAAAAACTTTTCTAAGGAAGTGATCATTGGTAATGATAGAAGCTGTCATTGTTCACTTCGTCTTCTTTTATTTTTATTTTTTTTATTTTTTTATTTTACCATATATTTTATTGATTTTTTAAAACATAAATCACTTAATAGTTGGTAAACAGTGTGTTTGCTGGGTTTACATTTGTAAAGAAAAATCATTAACAGCTGGTTTCTATAATCCATAATCCACAGAGTACATTTAGTTGATTTCCCCTTTTCCCCAAAATGACTTCTTTGCAAGCTTTGAAATAATACAGTTCTTATTATTTTGATAAATAACAGTTATATATATGATTTTTTCCCCCAATATTCCTAGAAATAATGCTCACGTCAATATAATATTTCTTTTCTATCTAATCATTCCGGTTGCCTCATCTTATATCCTGTTACAGTCCTTATTTAGATTTGTTTCTCCCGTAAAGTTCAAAGTATTCTTGCTGGTTAAGATTTTCTCAACAGTTAATTATGTTTAAAGGTTTAAATCCTTTTTTCCCCATATAAACCATCTCAACACTTTTACATTTCTTAAAGAATAGGTAAAAACAGTAAACAAAAGGAAAAGAGATCACTTTGTCTTCTTTTAATGTATGGCATATATCTGGGCATTATTATTATTATTACACACACACACACACACAGTTTATACATGTAATCATAATATTCAGAAATGATATCCACTACTGATATATAATACAGCCAGTGGATATATTTAATGATTGATTTGTCTTAATTATTAGTTATTAGCTCTTGCCATGTTGCTATGCTATGTTCCATTCTGTGATTCCTGGAGTTATGTGAATATCAGGACATAACCAATTTTTTTCACTAACCCCAAATTGATTTCA